CCGGCTGCGCGGACGTACAACCCTCTCCGCCCCTCGTTTCTCTGTCTATCGCGGGTGGGTGGGTAGGGAGGAACAAACAGCGAGAGGGAAAATTTATAAAGAGAGTCTGGAGGGGGTAAACTACTTGTTGCGCGTCGCGGCGCCCTCGTGACGCCAGTACCCCCTTCTTCCTTTTCTCCCTTCGCGTTCTCGACGACTACTACTACCGTTAGCGTCGCTAGTATGCCCTTTCGCTGGCGACGCCACCGACGACGTCGCTACCACCACCAACGGCCAGCGTCGTCGCCACCCCCGACATCGACTCGTGATGCCGTCGACAAAAATAGACGTGTCGTCGCGACGCAACAGATATCACTCGACCTCGACTCGCGTACCACCATTTTCCGGCATGTCCTTGCACTTTTGCTTCCCTTTTTTTATCCCTGCTCCCTAATCGATCTTTAATCGTACTTTGTATAGATACTATTTATTACAATTCCATTTAATCCGATCATTATCATACGTTGATGGTAGCAAACCCCTTTGCACGCACACGCGCTAAAGATTTACTCATTTATCAAGTTAATACCGTGTCAGCTTTTCAGCTAATACAAAATTAATGACCGTGAATCAAGTCAGGTTTAAAAATTAGGGTAGGTCAAATTATGTCTCCTTCAGAAATAAAATCATGCGAATTGCTTAGTGTATAAAATGATTCATGAAATTGGGTCTTGACTGTAAATTATACACGAAAGATCGCAAACTTAGTTACCAACCTAATAGTATTACCAACATTGCTATTAAAAAATGAATCAATTCCTGCGACGATGCGGCTCATCCAATAAAAAAAGAGTAAAAAATACGAAAGATCCACTGACCTGAATTTGGTGTCCAGGATTGTTGATGTGTAGCTGCTGCGCCTGGTTAATCTGGAGAGTGGAGGTGCCGGGTCCCGAGGGAGGTCTCGGGGGCGTGGAGCTGGTGAAGGGTCCCTGGGAGCCGGTTTGATTGGGTCCAGCGCCCTGGGAGCCTCTCGGTGGAAGCGGATAACCGGGGCTGCCGTGATTCGGCATCGATCCCGGGCTACCGTACGGCGAATACTGCTGCTTGTATCCTCCGCTTGGGCCAAGCATGCTCGGTTTGCCACCGGTGGCAGGTTGCGGTCTCTTCATGTCCGCCAGTCCTGCAGCGAACTGGGTCTGCGAGCCGACAAACATATCGTTGGTCTGTTGACTCTGGAATCCGGACGTACCGTTGTTCTTGTGATACGAGCCAGTGCCGGAAGTGGTCTGGGACTGTCCGCCGGGAGGACCGGTGCTACCAGGACTGCCTAAGTAGTCGGACGCGCCGCCGAATTGCGGGAATTCCGCGTACGGAGAACGAGCGGTTGGTCCTCTGGCGGCTGCGGCGGCTCCGGGGTTGAAACCACCCAGGCCAAGTTGTTGGCTCTTGTGCTGATGTTGTTCGGCCATCTGCTTTAAGGTCTGGGCGGCTGGACTCATCTCGGACTTGAAGTCCAGCCCGGAATAAGGTAATCTAACGGGGGAGTACTGGGCCGAGCCGAGGTTACCCGGACTCGAATTAGCGGGCATCGAGTTGCCGTTGTTAGAACCCGTGCCGTTGTTCACGTTGTTGTTATTGCTGGTCCCGTGTTGCTGGTGTATCGCGTCCTTGTCGTCTTCGATCTTGATCTGACCGTTGTTCGTCGCGATGTTGTTATTGTTGTTGTTGTTCGCCGCCGCGGCAGCATGAGCCGCCGCAGCCGCAGCCACCACCGCGTTGTTCGCCAACGCGTCCACGGGGATCTTCTCCTCGAAGTCGAAGTCTTTCATGAACTCCGGATGGAAGTCGGAGATTTCGGAGATGAGATCCTTGAACGCGTCGGAGGTGATGATCTCGTCACCCGTGTCGTCTCCCATGAAGTCGGAAAAGCCAGGGAAACCTGCTCCGTTCGCCGCAGCGTCTTTCTCCAGCGCCGCAGCGCACTGTTCGAGGTCGACGAACTCGTTATCAGGTTCCTGTTTGCATTCAACCAGGTTGCCGATATCGACGCACCCGATGCCTCCAGGGGCAGCTGGGCCACCTGTGCCAGCGCCACCGGAACCTGGCCCACCTCCGCTTCCGTTGCCGGTCTGAGATCTCGACGTACCGGACGCTGGCGTGTCCGGACCCGACTTCGGCGACGACGACGCGTTCAGCAGGTCGCTCTTCACAGAGGCGTTCGTCAACGCCTTCACCGTCACGTTCGTGGAGATCTGTTGCGCCTGCGAGTTCGCGGCCGACGTGGTGAACTCTAGTTGTTGCACGATTTCCACCGAGAACTTGGTCAGACCTTCGTTCCCACCACCGCCGCCTCCTCCACCTCCGCCACCGCCGTGCGTCGGACCCGTCGAGTTCGTGCCGTTTCCGGAAGGATGCTGACCGTGGCCGTGATGAGGCCCGCCACCACCTCCTCCACCGGGACCCTGCTGATGCTGATGTTGCGCCTGCGTGCATTGCAGCTTCACGGGGGGCTCGCCGAACCCACCGTCTCCGCTACCACCACCGGCTGGCTCCAACTCCTCGGCCGTCCTCTTCACGAATTTTTGCTGCTGAAACGACAAAACGATAACGTTCATTAGTTATAATTATATCATCAACGTCCGCTGCTCTTCTTATATTCTACTCCAGATCTAATTGAGATCCGTAAATTTTGGTGTAAAAGAATCTTGGTCTTGAAATTCACAGTCAAATTTGTTTAGTCGTCATGAACGGATCTAATTTGAATACATGAACCAGTCTGACCAACTGTGTGTAAATTCTTTCTAGGATACATAAAGTGTCAGAATACAGATAAATCCATCGATGCGCCTCGTTCCCGAGAACCACCCAAGCGGAAAACGCCTCGAAAAATCGCGCGAATTACAAAGAACAAGAAACTCGTCGACGTCTTGTAAATCCCGCGTTGGCTCGCGATTCCCATTAGAAGCGACTGACAGACCGATCCAGCGAAAAAATGTGAAAAAAGGGACACGGAGAAGCTACCGGGCAGCGTTCTGTTCGTGGGTCAAGGCAAAACGCGGCGAGTGCTCTAAACTCGCCGGTTTTTCTGCGATCACGGCTCCTGTAACCGGTAGTGCAGGATATTTAGCTCGCGGTACCTGGATGCCTCGTTCTGTTCCCCGTTTCTTTCGCAATTAACCCGGCTATTTCTCACCGTACCTGTCAATACTGGCGACGCTTTTTCTACGCAGCTCCGCTCCGGTGTCCACCGACATCGAATCGACCGTTCGGTCCGCCACTGGCAGGCCTGTTTTGTCCGGCAGAGGCTCGTGTCTGCTCGCCGGGCATAAATCTTGCGACGCGAATCAGTTTCTACCACTCGGCACGTGAATCTATGGCGATCCGCGAGACATCCAGCGCACCGTTCGCTCGATCGTGATAACGAGACGCACCCTGATAGTTTATCGTGTACGCACAGCTTTAACCAGCCTTCGAACGGAAGCCGGTGAAATACGTTTGTTACCGTCACGATTTATGCGCGGCCATTGAGAAATGAAGCAAATAAAGGAAACGTTTCTCCGCTATGCGGAGTTTGACTGATGGCTTTAATTTTCGGTATCAGTGAACATTTTCGTGGCTATGTTTGGGGACCACATTTGGGAATGCATATACAATTTTTTGTTTCTTTTGAAATAGGAAGTCAATAATTCCTTTTAAGGGCTTTGTACATATACTATTACATGTATTTATTTAATACATTGTGACTTAAGTACCATATGTTTTTAGGACAATTATGATGTTTGTTTCTTTCGAGACAAAATATATGATAAGTTTAATAACTCGATTAGTAGGATATTGAAGTAAACTAAAGTGGTAAATCATGCGACAAATAACCTACTTCAATTTAATTTAAGGGTTATAAAAGCACTTCCTTTCCGAGCTACTCTTAATTACATACCGCAAGAGTCGAAGTGACCTTCTTACGTATCATGCACGTGATGACCCTGTATCATAGATTCCTGCACGCGTTACTGGATTCCTAAACTAATTACCTGCTGCTCGAATTGACAATACTAACAATTTCATATTTTTGTGAGGTAATTGTCGGAGATCGTGCAAACGAATATTACTTGCGTTACCATTCCTCTATTTTACTCTTTCGAAATAAATATCTATACGAGATCTATATTAGTCGAAAATATTTATATTTTAACAAACACATCGAAATGGGGAATGTATCAATAAATTTATCAGATGGAGAAGATTTCGATCGCAAACACGTCGCTAGAGTTTCTCACGTAACATCCTAATCGAGAGGTGGATTTCGAGCAGACGAAATACGTAACGCGGATATAGGGAAAAGATTGGAAAAAGTTTTTCCAGGGCGCGGTCGAGCCGCCACGAATCGCACACAGATCCACAGACAGTCGGTGTACATTTGTCATGATTTGAACCGGGATAACCTCCACCTCGTTCCAAAATCGATAATACGTATTACCCTCTAATAGGGGAGTAGCTCCGTCCTACGTTTCCGTGTGCAACCCCATTTTGGTCCTGTCTCGAAACGAATCTGTCTCTCGCAGATTGTAACCTGTCTTCAAGAAACTCAACTTGTAATCAAAAATAATTTTCTCCACAAATATTCTTTATTATTTGAAAGAATGCCTTTTATAAGAATGAACCTCTTTTTTAAAAAAGGACCTTAAAACTGACGCGAGAAATTAAAACATTTGCTTACGCGAGTCGTCAAAGGGAACAGATTACGAAGTAACCTTAAACTTTCCACTGCGAATAACGTGTGCGAGAATTGAATAAAAGCGAGGGCATTGAAAAGAAGCTTACAAGAGAACAGAAGGTAAAGGTGAACAACGGTGTTTACGCTTGCCAGCGGAGGACAGCATCCGTGGATCTTGGGAAACTAGGCCAGGAGCATCTTTTTCTTCCCCAGTTTCTTAAGTTCTCTTCTACATCGACGCGTTCATCTCGCTGATTTCAAAACGCTGCTCGACATTTTGTTCGGATCGCCGGTTTATCATGGATGCATCAAAGGACATTTTTCATAGATAAATAAATCGAATAAATTACGTTGAAGTGCACATGAAGCATTCATCAAAAAATTTAGCAATTTAACTATTCATCGAACAGGTCCAGTGTTGGACGCTGAATAAATTGTGAAAAATTCACTTGTTTAAAGCTATAGAACCTTTGCTGCACACATTCGTAATCACCGATACAAATTAAAATATAAAGATTTAGTTGAAATATTTATTTTCATGAAGAAGTCCAGGTTCTTTTTATTAGGTGAACCTTTGTGTAACAATAGAGTACTTACATAAGATATTATTTTTATTATATTATGGTTCAGAAGATGTTACAATGTTAAGATTTAGTTAAAATATTTATTTTCATGAAGAAGTCCAGGTTCTTTTTATTAGGTGAGCCTTTGTGTAACATAGAGTACTTGCATAAGATATTATTTTTATTATATTATGGTTCAGAAGATGTTACAATGTTAAGATTTAGTTAAAATATTTATTTTCATGAAGAAGTCCAGGTTCTTTTTATTAGGTGAGCCTTTGTGTAACATAGAGTACTTGCATAAGATATTATTTTTATTATATTATGGTTCAGAAGATGTTACAATGTTAAGATTTAGTTAAAATATTTATTTTCATGAAGAAGTCCAGGTTCTTTTTATTAGATGAACCTTTGTGTAACATAGAGTACTTACATAAGATATTATTTTTATTATATTATGGTTCAGAAGATGTTGCAATAAGGTAACGTTACAATAAGGTTACTTGTTTATCAAGTCTGACCCCAGATCAGAATTAATATTTAAGTTGATTAACCTTATTAAGAATGTATGCATTTTCAATCAATTTTTACTTATCGACTAAATCACCGTTATCAAGTACACGAGTAAAGTTAAATCAGAGTGTAGGATCCGCAGCGCGGGATATTGACGCGAAGCAAGCGGTAGCTCCGTTATCCAGCTAGAGGCTGGCGTACATTTTCGCCCCGCGAAATTGCTTGGCTAAAGGCGGTATGCCCGACCGAAACTACTCCCCGGGATCTCGTCTCGCATCTATTACAACTTACGTATATACAATCCAGGCCGGCTCTCTCGTTTTTCCCGGGCGAAAAATACGGGCGTTCCGGTTTCCGCAAAGGCGACGGAAATGTCTGCGTTGCTGCTCGCTTTCTCTGCAATTTCCTCGCGACTGCCTATGCTCCAGGCTCGTTGTACTCTCGAGCGTAGCCTGGGAATTTATCGTGCCACCATTTTTTTTACCGTACCTCCACCGTTTTCGAAATTCCCGATCTCGGGGATAAATGTTTCGAATAAAGATCAATCACTTTCGAGGCGATACTTTTAAGGGAACATTCTTTAGAGACTACGTCGTTTCATGGCAGTATTTTTGATTCTGTAGCTGATAGGTGATGGTGGTAAGTTTTGTGATGGTGTAAGTTTTACGATGGTGGTATCGTAGTTGAGTTTAAGCATTTTGTAGTGCCTAATGAATATACTTGAAGTATACTCGAGTTTAGATTGGTTAGATTAAGATAAATTACTTGCATATCGTAGATGGCCTTCGATAGAATGTTAACCATATGCACATTGCAAAAGAATAAATAAGATGGCATCAAGGTGATGGACTTTTCACAAAAAAATCATACTCTACAATACTTTTTATGTTGCAACTCGCAGTCAATATGAAATTGACTAGCTTTTGTTAGAGTCACTCTGTTAAAACTTGTCAGAGATGTTACACATCAAAAATCATATACAGCGCACATCAGAAAATTTAACGTTTCATCTTCTTATAAGTTTGTTCATATTTAATTATGAGGAGAGAAACACATTACTAAACAATCTCATTATAATTGGAGAGTTTGAAAATGATTTCGTACAGTCAACAACGCACAGTGTACCCACTAATAAAATAATGTAATACTATGAAACACGCCAGAAGCGAGAAAAGCGATAGCGATCGAAGTTATTAATCAAGTATCAACACAAGAATAAATCTTCCCCAACTTTTATCCCTACCCGGTTGATTTCATGAACCCGTCCCTCTCGTTCACCCCTATCTTCCTCCCTCAAGTTATTTCACCCCTGACCACGTCCAGCTCTTTATTACGCTCGAGAAATTCGTACAACCGATTAATTCTGCCGTTTAGCGATTACGAATTAATAGTTGGTTACGTACACTGTCGGAGAAAATCGATAGTGGTGTGGGTGTTGACAGAGGGTGACTATACACCGGCGGTGGCAATGGGGGTGGCTTTTGGCCACCCGAGGAGCCGATTTAACCCTCGAAATCGGTTACTGCAGCGCCGAGTTTACCGAACTTGGGGGTCCAACGTATTATGCCACTTCGTCCGGAAGTAATACTCTGTTACACACCCGCTTCCGCTTTTCAACGGTGTACTTGCCAAATATATGAAAACAAACGTTTTCGGATAGTAAGGCACTTTATGCTTTCAAGTTATTACATCGATATTGTTCATTAGATGTTGTCGATTAGACAGAATGTTTGGAAGAATAATTTTGTTTAGAAGAGTAACATTTACTGTAACATTCAGGAGTAACACTCAGACATTC